AAATAGTCTTACAAGTTATAAGGAAGCCTATCAACACAAAATAAAATCTATATTATCGTAAACATCAGATCAGAAGCTCATACAATCAATTATAGGAATCGTGTTTATCGGTCGACCTACGGTGCAGACAACATTGTATGAAGAGGGCTACATAGTTATCAACTGCAGTAGCGTACCCAGAATTTTTTTTCTGGAGGGGTTATAATTTATTTTTGTCGAATTTTATCTGAAAATGATTTATTAATGATAACGCTGTTATAATTTAACAATTTTTGGGGGGGTTTCAACCCCCACCCCCCTGGATACACCACTGGTTATCAGGTTGGAAGAAATACAATCTACACGTATACCACCTTATGAGCCATGAACGAAATATTCGTATTCGATGTGCAACGAGTTCAAAGTCAGGTTGAGTTAATACCCGAGAATTTATAAATGCGTTAAAGAAATTAATTACAATTTTTTTGTAAATTTGGTTCCATCGTTCACCAAGTTCGCTATATTATTGCTCAGCTGTATGGAACATAGGCAATGAATCGTGTCAACGTATAAACAACATGACGAAGACTGCAGAAGGTTAATTAACTTTAGAATAATCGTATATAAAATTTCATTAGATTAGATTAGGAGTTAAGGTGAGTGATCAAATTAATAAATTACGAGTAAATTTATACTAGTGTATAATAATAGTAAATCTCGTCAAAATAATGAAAATAATTTCTCATCTCCATATATCATATATGGGTAGTCAATACTCAATATAGAAAACGAATAGTGAAATGGTTATAGATAGGCGTAAAAATAGACTGGAGATAGGAAAAGTGTCAATATCGAGTCAAAGTCAAGGAAAATACCAGTCGACATCTCACGTGGAAGTAAAAGTGCACTTACCTGTCAAAAGTGCGATCAATGCTGTCGTTGGAAGAGAACGAGATGTCCGTTCGGGTCCAACTGAAGAGTGGGAGTGTTTCTTATGTATAGGATGACATACGTGAAAAGTGTATAAGGGAGCACCAATGAACATTTTTTTCCTGTTGTATGCACACGTGATATGTAGTACCTACCTATAATATAGAATAATAATATAGTAAAAACCATATTTTAAGATATTTAATTTAAATTTCAAATAATTAACATTTAAAAATGTCTTACATTTTAAATATTTAAACAAAATGCAGGTATAGTGAGATGTGGAGTTTAAGAACAGCAATTTTAAAAGGTGGGGTGATCGATCTCAAGTAGTCATATATATTAACAAATTCAAATTAGTTTTCGTCTAATCATGTTTCAGGTCAATCGGTATACGATTGGTACATTTTTGTTGAAATAATTGACTGTTTGACATTTTTTGAATTTTGTAAATTTGTATTAAATTATTGTCGACAAAAACTTTTTCACTTAGTAAAAATCTTGAAAATGTAATGCAAAGGTACTCATAAGATGCTTTAATAGCAGTTCAAAAATATTAATGATACATAGGCATGATTAGAGTTTTATGTGCATTTATCTAAAGTTCAAATATTGACAAAATCCCAAAAGCTGCAAATTATTTTTCTATTAGAAATTCATAAAAATGTTCACAAAAAAAGTTCCTCTGCTGTACAGTAGGTTACAAGTGGGTCACTAATATAATCGGTATAATCGATGGTAGGTAATCAATTTGAATTCAATGATATAATATTATTGTATAAGAAAAACGGTTCTGAGAGGAGACGGTGTGTCCGTCTAGGTATGAGACATATTATAAACATTTCTATGGTATTAAAAAAACAATTGACCTATGGAACCTTGTGACTATGGATTTTTAATACTTTTCATCTGTGTTTGAAACAATATATTAGGAGCCTTCTATTACATTTTTAAGCTTTTGTACCCAACAAGTAACATTTTATTGATATTTATAGAAAAAAAAACTTGAAAAAATGGAAACTGAAAATGTCCACAAGAAGAGCTCAAAACAAGTCAAAATACTTGGAACATTTTATGGTGTATAGAAAATGCTAATATAAACATTTAGTCAAAATTCCATGGTAATTTGTTTAAGAGTTGCACCAAAAACCAAAATCGATTTTTTCGAAAACCGTTTTTCCTTAATTTTTCTTTTGTTTTTCGCAGCGTTTTTGAAAACTACTGGGAAATTTTCACTTTTGAACCCCCAAAGTACCAACTAGATTCACTTTTCTATCAGAAAATATACTATTGAAGATAATCCAAGCACTTTTACTGTCTTAAAAGGTGTTGACACACACAAAAATAAAAATTAATAAAAAAAAAACACACATCATTCTAAAATCAGTACATTCATCGTTCCACTCAGAATCTAAAAAAGTTTACTGAAAAGAAACATTAATTTTTTTATGAGCGATTGAATTTAAAATTTTTACGATAAGTATTGGATTTTCCCTGGTAAATTAACAAATTTCCATCTATCGATTTTTGATATTTTGTTGTAATTAAAAACGAATAACAATAGGTTATTATACTTGAAATTTTCACCAAATATTTAATACTTATATTAGCATTTTCCATACATGGTACATTTTCAAACTATTTTGACTCCTTTTGAACTTACATTGGAAATTTCAATAGAAGATTCATAACAAGTTTTTCAACCTTTATCAGAAAAAAAATTCACCAAGAAATTAGGTACTCTATTTAGATATTTTCTATTTTAATTAATTTTTTCATCAAATAATTGAATTAAAATATAACACAATGATAATATGTTCGACAACTTACTACTGTACAGCAGCGCTTATTCATTTAATAATTAGTTTTAAAAGCCTAGTTATAACTTTATGAACATTTAAAATGTTCATAGCCCGCTTTAACACATTATAATAAAAAAAAACTATCGGATTCACTAGGTATATAATTTTATTCTTACTTCTAAATTTGATAAAAGGTCAATAATTCACTCTTATAGTCTATTTTATTAAACATAAGGTACCTACATAACTTAATTAAATGGATTATTTAGAACGTATTATTCGCCACTTTATGCGTCTGTAAGAGTAAGACGGAGACAAATGCGTGTAGGGTTTTTCTTAAATGTTATGAATTCAATACTTTGGTCATGGAGTATTTTATTCTTTATGATTTCAGTTCTGAATCAAATCATGGATAATAAGATTATAAATATTATCGTCTATGAACTATTGAACGGAGTAAGTATTATTACGGATTTAGACGATGTGCCGTCGTGCCAGCATGTAAAAATAGTATTTACATTTTTATTTCCTTGTCCTTTCATCTAAATTCTAACCTTAGGTTTTTTTATATTCTACTATTATTATAAAGCTATACCGTATACTTGCGCATGAAGGTACGTCCGTAGCAGTGAAAGGGTTAACATAATATTATTTGCAAACTGTTGGGTAGGTATTATAAATTTTAAATAATAAATCTGCAGATGATTTTCATCATGATGAACATTTATTATAACTCTCGACTTTCAATACCTACAAGCCTGACCGAGTAATGGTAGATACATCTTAACGTATACATGTTGCATTTTAAAGTTTAAGCTTTTAACAACGATTATAAAAAGAAAAAAAACGTGTAACTATTCTGTATACCTACTGTATAATGTATCAGGAAATTATAAGTATAATCTTAATATTCCTTGCTCACAAAAAAGCATTATATATAGCGCTCTACGTCTTATCAAATAATAAATAAGAATATTATACATTATATATAGGTAAGATAATATATATTATTATACATAGGTACTCACTTTAAAGTAGTTAAATCCATCTATAGTATTTAAGCATTTAATCTTTTTCTTGATGTAGGTAACATTTTATTAAAATATTATGATCGGATTAAAAAATTAAAATCAAAATATTACGGAGGAGCAATGATATAATGGGTCTTTTTCGGTTTGTTCCTGAATTCGGATTCAATGTTGAAACGTTGTTTTTAGATTTATAGACAAACTACAATTTTACCATCTAATTTTGGTACTAGGTACCATAATTGATGATGCACAGTAACTATTAATAATCGATACATTTCGACTTCCTCAATTTCTAGTATATTGTCTATCCTGCAAGTCTGCAACAAGTTGCAATTTAAATTCTGCCACAGATTTTAATGTGTATGGTTACACACTAACACAGGCGCTCTATTTTCTTTTAAAGATAAATTTTAACCTCGCATAGCATTTTATACAGTCTACAGACGTTACTGTTCAGCCGTATATAATTTTATAATTTTTTTCATCAAATAAATTACTTGCTCAAAAATAGTCAAAATATTTCGATAATGTTAGGTACCTATATTATATAAAATGGTAGTATAAATATTTGGTGAAAATTTAAATCTTCTACTGTTATTTGTTTTTGAGTTACAACAAAAAAATTAAATCAATTTTGTCGAAAATTAGTTTTTCGTAAAAATTGTTATCCGAATATTGACGTTTCCAAAAACTACTGGGAATTTTAAATTTTAAACTCCCGAATGCACTAACTGACCAATTACATTGACTTTCCCATAAAAAAAGATGCTGATTTTTCGACATATTTTTACTACTACAAATGTTGATGACAGAAAAAAAATATCATTGTAAATACAATACATTCATTATTAATGATTCATCTACGCTCAGAAGTCAGATCTAATATCAAACCTTATTTTTAGTATTTGTTGAAACGAGTAAACGACAGTGATCTGCGTAATGTTACTAACGTTTATATTCGTTTCGGAAACGATAATTTATCCTTATCAACCGACTGATAATTTAATCACGTTTTGGTTGATAACGACAACATGGAATTTAAAAAGAGCACAATAATTTTTAAGACTATTTTATCGTAATCGTTTTCTCATTACTCCACAGTTCACTGTTGCAATGGTGTCCAACAATTATACTATTCTTCTGGTATGGATCGTGTTCATTCGATTGGTTTTTAATTATCATTAAAAATTATGTGTGTAAACGGTTAACGTCCATAAATGTTATTCAGTGTACATTTTCGTTTTCAGTTGGATTAATGATGGTTTTCATCAGAGCCTATTCAAATCGTAGTTGTAATGCTCTGTCCGTGGCAAGTACGCACTGTCCTCTGTTGAAAGCGTACTTGGACAGTCGTAGAAATCAAAAATGCCAAAAGTATTCAACCAGCACCGGGGCTTTGCCGAAAAACTGCAAAGTCGCGATCTGCGGAGGTGGAGTCATGGGAGCATCTGTCGCCTATCATTTAGCTCAACTAGGATGGGGTCCACAAACCATAGTCATCGAACAAGACAAGTAAACAATATTGTGACTATGCTTTTAAGTACCTATATAATATTATATAACATATCACTAATATTTGTTACATTCCCAGGTTAGGTGGCGGAGAGAATTCTTTTTCGTCAGACCTAGTTGGTGTGTTCAAACCCACACTGAGTCAAGTCAGACTCTGCCAATCCAGTGTCAAGCTCTACCAAGAATTAGAATCTCAAGGTTTCCAAACAGGCTGGAAGCAATGCGGTAGCCTTTGTGTTGCCAGAACTAGAGATCGCATGACTGTTTTTAGAAGAATGAAATCCCAATCTGTGTAAGATGATCAATGTTTATTTTCAATCAGTTTTGCTGTTTCATAATTAATTACAATACTGTTTTTACATCTACTAGTTCTTGGGGCATTAAATGTGAAATAGTTGATCCTCAAAAAGCAAAAGAACTCTGTCCACTTATTAGAATCGATGACATTAAAGGAGCCATGTGGATACCTGAGGATGGTGTTGCAGATTCTTACAAGATATGTCTCTCTCTATTAGAAGCTGCAAAACAAAAAGGTGCTTGGAAATTGTTTGCTTTTAGATATGCATTATCTAGATTTATCCCGTCCTTATCGATCTATTCTTAGAAACAAAATTTATTTATATTTTTGCTACATAATTTATAAAATCTTTAAAATAAATAGTGAATTGTGTTCTGTCAATGTTGAGTATTTTTTAGTTTATATATTTGTAAAAAAAATAACAATTTCTTGAGTATACCTATAGTAAGAAAATTAACAACATTTCATTTATAATTTGTAGGTGTTGTTGTACTCGAAAACTGTAAATTATTGGAAGTAGTCTGTGATAATGGTAAAGTTGTTGCCATTGACACATCAATGGGATCGGTTGATTGTGATTATTATGTAAACTGTGGTGGTTTTTGGGCACGAAAAATTGGACAACGTAGCAATCCTTCAGTCAAAATACCTCTTCACCCAGTTGAACATTATTATCTCCGCACAAATGAAATTTCAAATCTTGACTCTCTAACACCAGGTGCATATAAATAACTTAGCATTTATAAATTAAAAATAACTGACCTCGTAACAGTTTAATTATTTATTAATTTGTCTAGTTGTCCGAGATCAAGATGGCTCTATATATTTTAGAGAATTAAATGGATGTATTCTAGCCGGTGGATTTCAACTTGAAGCTAAACCTGCATTTGAAAATGCAAAATGTCCAGGTAATTTAAAGTATTGTTCAAATACTTAAAGGAATTTGCTATAACTGATGGTTTTATTAACTAAAATAACTAAAAATTAAAGTAAACCATAATGTACAAGATCTTTATTTTTAATTTGTAAAACCTGCTTAACTAGTATTGCCGCATATGGTAAATTATATCCCAGACATGTTAATCATTTATTTTAAAGATAATTTTATAACATCTTGATATTCTTCTGTTTCAGTAGTTTCAATTAGTACACTTTTAAATATAAGTTTTCTGGTTTCTCATTACTATTGTACGCTGTCAGCTAGAGTATTACAAAGTTATGAATATCATACTTTGAATATTATCCACCTTACTCATTACCTAGTTTTTGTTCCTACTTTAGTTTACAAAAGCAGTTTCTAAGGAATTATAATGCAAAGTATTATATTGTATTAAGTCATTGATTAAATATTAAGTATATTTATTCAATGATTAAGTTAAAAATATTCTTTTATATGGTTACTGGTTACAGATAATTCAGCTGGAAGACAGTTGCTGGCAGACTGGGATCACTTCCATGTGTTACTCGAACAACTATTACATAGAGTGCCATCATTAGCAAATGCTTCACTCGACAGTTTACTAAATATTGCTGAAACATTTACCCCAGACTGTAAATGGATTGTTGGTCAAGCACCTGAAGTAAGTATTAATAGTTTTAAACATTTACTGATAGCAGGTTAAAGTAGCTATAACTTACAATAGAAAATAACTAATAATGATCAATTTTCACATGACTCATCATAAATCTCAAACAAATAATATTACATTGATTGTTTTTTATTTAAAAAAAAGCCTAAGGCAAACAAAACAATAACATAATTGTGGGTCATACAATTTGGTCAACAGATTTTCCACAATAATTTATGATATTTTATTTTTCCAACATTAACTGACCATTAAATTCAAAACATTGATATCCCATAACTAAAATATTATTATAAGCTTATTACTTATTTATGATTCCGTATCTATTGCATAAATAAATAAATTAATGTTATTGCGGGTCTTCTGAAAAAAGTATATTAAACTTAAATTAATAATTACTATTTTCAGAGTTTTACCTATACCACTTATAATTGTATATACATTGCTCTCATAGTAAGTAGTTAATAAAAAAAACACAATAATGTAAGCAATTGAAAACATTTTGATGTTCAAACTGATGTTGAAAATATTGACCTTTGTTGTGTAAACATAATTTTTATTATGAAAATAATACTTAAAATGTATAACTAATGGCTATACGATTTAAATTATAGATTGCAAACTATTATGTTGCTGCTGGTATGAAGACTGTTGGTATATCAGCTGCAGGTGGCGTAGGTCAAGGAGTTGCTCAAACCATCGTTAATGGATATTCGCAATATGATTTGTACGAATTAGAAATGAGCCGTTTCTTAGGATTACACAACAACAGAAGGTTCCTTAGAGACAGAGTAAGAGAAGTACCTGGTATGTTTTTTTTTCTTAGAAGCAAACACTTTAATTATTCCTAAAAATATTGAGCTTTTTAATATGTAACTTCTTCAATCACAAAAACACGATTAATTTATACATAAACAATTTAATCTATAGGCAGACACTATAGCCTACAATATCCAAACAATGAGTTTATAACGGGACGTAATCTAAGAATGTCTCCAATATATCCGAAGTTGAAAGAAGCCGGTGCTGTGTTTGAACAAGTCATGGGATATGAGAGGCCCACTTGGTTTGAACCGGATCTGTCAAAAGGTATGAACAATACATACAATAGAGTGTAGATACAAAATACCTTTTTTGTTTCAATTGGATGCTAGTAAATTTTTATAACATACCGGTAAAGCACAAGAAACCCAAAAAATGAGAATCTAAGAAATATAAAGGTAAAATCTATCTATTATTGTATGTTTAATAAATGTTCATTAAATAAAATCTATTGATAATTCAATAATTGTTCGACATACTATTATATTCTATGTACTAATTTTTTAAAAAAATTTTAGTACATTTACATAGTTACACGAATACGAGAAAATTTATTACGGCTAAAACTAAAACGTTTGGAAAACCTGATTGGTTTGACATTGTTGAGGCTGAATATGAAGCTTGTAGAGAAAATGTTAGTCTTTTGGATTATTCTTCTTTCACCAAATTGGATATACAAGTAAGTTAATATAATATACATTTTAATTTTTATAGTTAATTAAATATATTATTATAAAATATAAATACGAAATAGTAAATAATATTATACATAGAAATGTTTTTGAAAAACCTAGTATAAAATTGATAAAAAAAAAATCAGGATTTGAGGCATACTATAAGTTTCTTAATTTCCATATTATTTTCTTGTCTTCAAGTTTTATTTACATTATTTTTAAATTTAAATTTAACACATTTCATGTCATGTTCTCGCATAATGAGAAGTTAAATGCCTTACTAACATTGATATTTTAAAATAAATTCCACTTGAGAACTATAGAGTATTGTAGTTAATACTCATTAATAGAATTAACTAAATATAAATTCTAAAACTGTATATCTAATATTTTCTGGTATATCAAGGTGAATAGTAACTCTTGTATAACCCTTTAACCTCAATATTGCACATATCTATAATTAAATAAAACATTCAAATGCTTTTAAAGCTTTTAAATGTATTTTTCATTTAAGAAGTAGTACTATTATTCTATAATTTTTAATTATCTATTGAAAACTATTTTTATAAAACACATATCAAACATCATTAAATTTTTTCTCATGCATATGAAATTTAATTGTTTAAAACAATACTAAATAGTATCTAAAACTTTGTCTTTGATTATTTAACCTTTAATAAATCATTTCGGTTAGTTTGTGTCTCATGGTCTTAATAATATAATTCTATAAAAAATATATTAAAAACTCACAGTTGACGATATTTGTATTTTATTTTTTCAAATATATGTCTTCTAATAACTTTTGGTCTTAAGATTTGAAAAATATTTATAGTATAGCTGTGTTGTTAATTTGTATAGTAAGAGCAAAAAATAGAGTACAAATAGATTTTTTGTATGTATCATTGAAAAAAATTTTGTTTCAAATGGTTATACGTACAATTTGTATTAGTAGTGTAGGCAAACAATAATTTGATTAAGATTTTAAAAACATTATACAAAATTGTCTGGCATGAGTGGTATATATTGTTAGGATATTATGTTTTCCTAATCTAAACAAAACACAACACAACAACTAAGTATGTTTAACAAAATTCCAAAAATCAATCAGCATTATATATTTTTGTAGTAAAGCTTATAAAATTTATTTGTTTTTATATCCTCCAAAATGGTCAAAATATCGACACTCAAAAATATTACTGAACATCATATTTTTTTTCTAACTATATCAAAATCCGAATATGTATAATCACTAATACTCTTTTCGTTCTTCAACTCCAACTTATCGATGCGGCTAGCCGGACTTCCAATGTCTCGCAACCACGCAGTCATCTCGGCGACTTTGTCTGGCGGTCCTTGTATTGTGCCAATCACTGTGCCTTCTGGCGTGTTTCGACACCAACCCCTTAAGCCTAATTGTTTACCATGTTCCTGCGTGCATTTGCGAAAGAAAACTTTCTGCACACGTCCGAACACCTCGAAGTCGACGGTTTTAAGACTAGTCGACATGCCGTTCAATGAGCTTAAAATATGAATTAAATATACTGCAACAGGATTCGTTTGAAGTTTGAAAGTCTTAGTATACTTTGGTCGATTTCAGCCGCGTTCTTTAGTTTCTGCAACTCAGTCTGTCGTAGTGTCGTCTCTGTCCACACTCCACTGATAAATAATAATTGATAATAAGAATAATATTATTTATTTTTGATCCAAACACTCGATCGTCACTATCAATATTCAACCGCTCTATAAGTTTATAATCGTACCGTAACCACGGTAACTAAGTATATGCACTAGAATATCGTATCATACGGCTGGTTTCGAATTTAAATATTTTCGCGGGAAAATTAACTAATAAGACGTAGTAACTATAATATTCTTTCCTAAAAGGTAGTTTATAATAATAGCTATTTAAATTTGACTAACTTCTTGCAAAATCTTATTCGAATTGACCAGTATTCAGTGAACTGGTGCAGTATTTTGTATTCGATTTAATTGCACTGACAACAGTCGTGACGTGCACTTTCTGCACCTCCTATTTTGTGAATGCTTATACTATTATGAACTCTATTTCTCTACTACTTGGTCAAATTTAGTTTTTGTATTAAATTTAATAAAAACTGTTATAGAACTAGTGCAACATTCGTGGAGTGGTAGATTATACTGGGTGTCTGGGTGCACTTGTAAATTGTTAATTGGAACACATTAGTTATGTTAAATTAGTGTGAACATTAGTTAGAATTAATTAACTTTTGATAATCGCATTTTATTTTTAGTCCAAAGGCCGAGAAGTGGTTGACTTGTTACAATACCTTTGTTCAAATGACGTTGACGTTCCGATTGGCAGTATTATTCACACAGGCATGCAAAACGTTCGTGGTGGTTACGAAAACGACTGTAGTCTTATTAGACTGTCGGAAAATCAGTAAGTATTTTAACTCTTTGTTTTGTCTATATTTGGTTTAATAGTGACTTTGTTTTGTATTAGTTACATGATGATTGCACCTACAATCCAACAGACGCGTTGTAAGATTTGGATCCAACGCCATTTGCCAAGCGATAATTCTGTGTCCTTGACCGACGTTACTTCTATGTTCACTGCCATTTGTCTCATGGGTCCTTTTACACGACACCTATTGTCTGAAATGACAGAAACTGATTTAAGTCCTAAATCGTTTCCATTTTTCACCTACAAAGAACTAGACGTAGGCCTAGCCAACGGCATTAGGGCTTTAAATCTCACTCACACCGGAGAGCTTGGCTATGTTCTATACATACCAAATGAGGTATAATGTTATTATGGTTATTCAAACTTATAATTTATGTTGTATCTAGTACAATGTTAGCATAATGTATTATGTTTTTATTTTTATTTTTCACACATTTTCATTTAATTAAAACCATTATTATTTATTAATTAATAATAACAGCTTTTTTAATATTCTAACTATTGAAAAAAAATCCATGAATTGCATAAAAATGCTCACCTAAATTGTACATATTGGCTAGACAATGAGTTATACAAATAATGGTTTTGTAATATGATAAGTAAAAATAACAAATTATATGCTGACATCTTCTTGAAACGTTACATAATAAGTAATGATAATTTAAATAATTATAGCTAATAATAATTCGTAATAGATATCAAATATTAAAATAATTGAACAACATTTATTTTCATCTTATGTTATTAAATACTACAAAATAATAGTACCTTATTCCAATAAATTGATAAATAATTATTATTTATTAAAACTTTCAACTACTTTGCTTATTAATAAAAACTTCTAATCACTAAAAAAATAATTCTATAATCTATTTTGAAAGTGTAATAAATAAAATACCATTATCTGTTAATGAATATTCAGTTATGAATAAAATCAGAAATAAAATGATTAATTAATATTAAAACAATTTTTTGTTAACCACTGACTGAAAAATTTTATATTTTCAAAATATTTTTTTGTGGAGTAATAGTTCTAAACCATAATTGGTTTTTGTTTTATTTATACATAATATTAGGAAAATGTTGACATTTCATACATTTTATTCTTATTGAATAAATTATTGGATTTCACCAAGATTATTTATGATAAACATTTTTATAGTTTGCTTTACATGTTTACAACTCATTAATTGAAGCTGGGAAAAAGTATAATTTGAAACATGCTGGCTGTTACGCAATGAAAGCTTTGAGAGTGGAAAAATTCTATGCATTTTGGGGCCAAGATTTAGATACATCGACTACGCCATTAGAATGCGGACGATCGTGGAGGGTGAAGTTTGACGTGAGCCTGATGAAATATTAATGATGATTATTAATTTATTATATATGTATGTGTATTATAAATTTTTTTTGTCAAATCCAGAAAGGAATAAATTTCATTGGACGAGATGCTCTGTTACGTCAACAAGAAGAGGGGATAAAACGAATATACGTTCAATTACTGTTGAATGATCATGATCCAGACACTGAATTGTGGTCTTGGGGTGGTGAGCCGATATTTAGGGACAAGAAATATGTTGGTGCCACAACAACAACTAGTTATGGGTTCACATTTAAAAAACAAGTAAATTTCATGAATAGTATAATATAGTTTATTGTTTTAGTGGTTATGTTTAATATGAAAATTACTAATTAAAAATATTTGTTAGGTATGTTTAGGATTTGTTCAAAACTTGGATAAAAACGGCAATGCTCTACCTTTGACAAACGAGTATGTAATGTCCGGAGAATATGAAGTAGAAATAGCAGGCACACGATACCCAGCAAAAGTAAATATTAACAGTCCAAATTTGCCAACAAAATATCCAGACAAGGAACGCGAATCGTATCTTGCTACCAGGGATAAAATGGTATCTGAACCATTGTTGAGAAACAACTGATAAGTTTATGCAACAAATTAAATTAATCCATCCTCGAGTTTTCCTAAATATTAAAACAAGTTTGAGTTTCCTATTTTTACTTATCTCACCAATTACCTAGATCTTATATTGTTTTGATTTTATTATCAAAAAAAGATAAAAAAAAAAACGAAAGTATTACAGGCGTACTTGTAGCTTCAATCGATGTAAGTGGTATAAATTATTCAAATAACCCAATGAGAAGATATTTTTTGATTGCCAGCTATTGTAATAGAGCTTGCGTTGGTAGTGTCACATTTAGATGATGTAGTAAAAAGCGTACAAAAATTTAATTTATTATAGAATTGTATTGTAAATCTTAAAAAATAATGAAATAATTACAAATGTTGTAATTTATATTCAATAAGATTCTCACAGGTTATTTATTTATCAATTATCAAGATTCTGTACAACATTTATTATTATAATATTATTATAACTGTAAATGCAAACTCTAGTCTTTATGTAATTCATTGTCAACTTGTTTTTATTACTATTATAGATGTTTACAAAATATTGTTAAATTGTAACAGTGAATATGAACCATTATGTTTCTTGTAAATTCTATAAACTGTTCAATTAGTGAATCTGGACTTAATGGTAATTATGCATAACAATAAACAGTATACATGATATTATATAGACATCTATATTTATTAATTATTTACATCACGCACGATACTTCACAAAATGTTTTAATGATATAACAATTTTCAAACGTCATTATAAGTAATGTTTGTAAAATGAACAGATTTAAATTGATATAATTTTTTTTTTATCTGACAACAATGGGTATCAAAGTGCATTGAAATGCATTGAAAAATCAACAATACATCGGCTATTCTATTTATTAGACCTGTATAATATTATAGTATATACAGGAAACTTCACATCTTGATTATTAACTGTTCTATACCCACCTCTTGCAAACATATTAAAGTATACATTACTAGTCTAATACTTAAATGGGAATACTATTTAGTTTTTAATCAGTTTTAAATTAATTACACTTGAATAAGTTACATAAATATTATTTAAAAAAAATTTAACAATTCTATTTCTAGTATTGTTTATAGCAATTTTTTGTTTCATTGTATAAAATAGTTCAAAAAAGAAATTTAATTGCATTAAACAAGTCTCGGTCTGTTAAGTGTAAAATAATATCAGTATTAGCAATTCTCTGCATTTTTCCACGTCAATCAGTAAAGTTTTAGATTCTGAACGAAGCAATGAATTTATTTATTCTACAAAACTTTGGTTTTGTGTGTATGTACATAATTTATAATAGGATATTTTTCCTAAGTATTTGCTTTATTATAAAATTCCAAATCTTTTCATTTAGGGAAGTGAATCTATTAGGAACTTTTAGGAGGTCAAAATTAAAGATACTTTCCTAACATTTGTTGACTAGGTAACTGATTTTGTGAAACATTGCAATTCTGTTATCCAAGTCTACCAAAATTTGCCACATACCTTTTATCACACTGTCTTATTTTTTTTTTTTACATAATATACTAAGTTGTATTGTAATATACTGAGTTCTTTGTTGTATAGTGTTTTAATATGTATACAATTTTAAATTTTAATATGTTGATATAAATGTTAGAAAATTTAGTTTTGTTACAATGATAAATGGAATTTATACAAAAATGAAATGTTTTTATGGTAAACATTATTCATTGTTACCTAATTAAAAGTTATCTGTTGGAATAAATTTGATTTTGATCGTTTTGAAAATTCCGGTGAATTTATATTCCTTTATGGCTTAACATTTTGGCAGCACATGATTTTAGTTGATGAAGCGGAGTTGTTTTCTCGCATTGTTTTTTGTTCTGCCGTTTTGCTGATCCCCGAAGACGTTCTATGTTTTGAGTAAGTGCTCCACTTATAGGTGGAGATTCAATTGAATTTCAGGGTTGGCTTAAATATTTCTTTATAAAATAAGAATTTGGGAGGCTTTGAAGTTTGAATAATGTTCAATAGTTTTGGGCGAGGCTAAGCCCCTACCCACAAGCACCCCTCAATCAACACCTATGGCTCTACTTTGAGGATATACAAAGCTAATGCGGGGGACGAAGTGGACGAGCGGTCTAAGGCGTCTTCTGCGATGCAGCCGACGCTGGCTAGATACCTTGGTCATGGGTGGCATTTTTCTTAGGGCTAGTCACGGTGTCCGGAGAACAAGTGCCGCCATCCCCCACCCGGGTATGGCAGATACCTAGTGAGTAGTGAAGCCCAATCAAAAATTCTGCCAAACCCAACACACACGTGTTCTCCCCCCTTACCGACCCAAAAACCATACAGCTAATGGCCGTAGGCCGGGCTTAAGATCAACTAAAAAAAAAAAAAAAAGTTAATGCACTCAAATGTTTAAAACCCATTTTTTCATGTCTGCAAGAGTTGTTGGCCCGCCAACAATATGAATAAATATTAATAATAAATACTAAATAGTAATTATAATAATTATGTATTAACTATTTAACTCTGTGGCTATGTACTTGTAGTAATTTTTTTTTTATTTAACTTATTAGTTTTTATATTTTAACAAAAATAAATTTTAAAGCCGGGTACAGATATTTTTATTTTCCCACACATATATACAATTACTGGTTATTTATTAATAAATATTTATAATTCATACATTTTATTCGAAGTGGGAAATATCGACTGTATCGTGCTGCAGCGTGCTACGTATGTTAATTTTTTTTAATATTAAACATTGTCGTACAAAACCATTTAAAACTATTGCAAATTAAAATTGAAATATAAGTAGATACGTACGACGTAATAATCACATTTTTTTTCTAACCGATATTTTACGTAACGCATAGAATCGAATAAACTGTACCTAATAATTATGAATTATCTAATGTCCACTAAGTATATAACAATTAATATGGTTACTTATTAAGAGGACGTGTCACCCAAAGCTGTACGCATGCAACGACCGAGAGGATGCGCTGTTAGGTGTTTTCACGATCCGCAAGCGCGTGGCGTTTAAGTCACGCCTACTATTCGCAACCGGCCGACGGCGGCGACGAGTGCTCGTTCGGGACTTCGGGAGCGCCGTTTATTTGTCTATGAACGTTCGTCCAGTACCATTCGTATCATTATATAATTCATTATACGCAAATGCCGCCGTAATATTTTCAATACCCTCGCGTACCTACGAACTACAGATTATAAATTAAGATACTGTTTACTTAAATTTATGTCCCAACATGTAGACCGTAGAAACTGTATTATAACATAGCTTGATTTGAAGTTATTGAATTATTACTTATTTAAATATAATACTTATAGTAAAATCTAATAAATGGTAAATAAAATAAATACAGCGCAATTAAATTAATATTAATTTACCGTGTATTATTTTTTAAGTTCAACTGTTAATGTTATATTAAAATATGATAATAAGTAATTACAAATATTTATTTAAATCAATAATATGTTTGTAGTAGGTATACCTATTACCTAACGTATACCTAATATAGTAATATAATAATTATAGGTAATCTACTCGTAATGATAATAATAATACACTAAAATCTTTATTTATCATTCTGTAATTTTTAGAGATTGGGTACATTGACTGAGAAAAATAACTAATTTAAAATGTATAGTTGTAAAATATAATGATAACAAATTGTAACATAAATTTATTAAAAAATTATTTCTATAAGTAACTGTTAGTTTAAAATTACCTACTATACAAACTACTATATTATAAGTATTACACAATCCAATGAATTACAGTTTATCAAATGGATAAAATCAATAAATAGATTTAGTATGTGACCTATATTATTTATCACCACATTTATATTTAAAAAAGAAATTATAATCATATTACCTATATTAATATAATAAAAGGGTAACGCGCAACAATTTCCTATTATTTAACCATGAAAAAAATTAATATTAGTTCAACAAGTATAATATAATTTATAGTTTTCTTTTTTTCTTTTTTTTTTTTGTGTCTGTGTACACGATAAGTAGTAGAAATAATGCTTCGATTTTCAACTTCAGTATCTTGTTCGATTGGAAAGTGAATATCGTTGGTGCATTGGGAGGTCAAAATTTAAAATGCTCAGTAATTTTCAAAAGCACCGGGAAAAACAACATAAAAATTAAGGAAAAACGGGAATTTTTACGCAAAATCGATTTTTCACAAAATTGAATTTAGTTTTTGGTGTAACTTTAAAAAAAATGACCTTAGGTACATGAAATTTTCACTGGTTGTTTATATTTGCATTTTCTATATACGATAACATTTTCAAAATATTTTGATTTATTTTGAACTGTTTAGGGACATTTTCATTTTCCATTTTTTTTGTTTTTTTCTAGAAATATCAATAAAATTTTATTTGTTGGTTAAAAAAGCTTGAAAATTTAATCCAAGGCTCCTAGTATATTTTTTCAAAGGCAGATGAAAAATTTTAAAAATCCTTAGTCACAGTTTTTTTTTATAAGCATTTAAAGTTCAAAAATTGACAAAATATCGAAAAATCACTAAAATTAGCAAATTATTTTGAGTTAGAAATTCGTAAAAATTTTTCTTTTTAAATCTAAGATTTGAAAATGTAATACAAGATTCCTTATAAGATTATCTACCCTTATCAAAAAAAAAATGTATATAAGAAAGTCAAATTAAATTTTTAAGAGCGTTTGAAATTCAAATTTATACAACATTGAATATTCACTCGATTTCTCATGTAGCGATTTCCTTATTTTGTTGTAATTCAAAAACGAATAACTTTAGATACATGAAAATTTCACTGAATATTTATATTAGCATTTCCTATACACCATACAATTTTGAAAATATTTTGACTCTTTTTGAGCTGTTTATGGATATTTACATCTTTCAATTTTTTTTAGTTTTTTTTCTATAAATATCAATAAAATTTTATCTATTGGGCCAAAAAGTGTAAAAAATTAATACAAGTCTCCTGATATATTGTTACAAGAGCAGTTGAAAA